GCACCTAACTTTAATTTCAGATTCAAGGAGAAATGAGAGAGGCAGCAGCAAAGGCTAGAAATTTCTTAAAGTGTATGAAAGACAGGTAATTACTTAATTACTATAATAATTAATTACCCCTTCCTCATCCCAAAATATAGATTCAAGTTACTGTAAGTTAGCTTTTAAAGTGACACATGTATGTGTATTTGTAGTCCCATTATTTACAGGCTGCACTTTTTACGAGATATAGTGAAGACTTTAAGTGATTTGTCACAGTGTATTCAGGACAGGGAAAACAATGTGGGTGATATTCACAACTGTGCAATGGGAACAAAGCAGATTCTGCAAAAGTACAAAACCAGGTATGAACAGAAAATGTAGCTATTTTCCCATTCTCTTTCCCTGTCTAACCGTCTTTAGTGAAGTAACAAATATTTCTGCTTTTGTAATACTTGTAGCATGTGTCTATCTATCACTTTCTTATGTGTTGGTGTGGGATTTTGTATCTTTACTAATATACTTTGCTTTGCCTAGCGATGGTCCATTCTTGAAAATTGCTGTAAATAAGCTCAATGAATCAATTTAATGGATGAAAACAAAATGAAAAGCCTTGAGAACATCAAAAAAGAGTTCTCGACTCCCTGCTTGAAAAACTTGCAGATCGATTTAGTGGAGATTCTGATTTGTTCAGTGCATGCAGTCTTCTGTCTTTAAGGAAATGGCCAGAAAATTTGTCAGATCAAATAGGTAGCTCTGTGTTTGCTAACATAAAACATTGGTTATAATTTCTGGTATTTTTATTCATATTACCTGAACTAGAAATGTTGGTATTGTGTGATTACCTGTTTGAATTGTGTGTGTGCTTACATGTTATTGCTGGGTTGATCCAATCCTGTTCCAATTCTTGGATCCACATCCTGAACAGTCTTGTTATTTAATATAAACCCTAGCTGCAGAACTGTAGCTCTCCGCTTGAGATAGATGAAGCAGAGAGTAACAGAAACAAGCGTTGTAAAAACCTTCGATTTACGCCAACGATTTTTTGTCGCTCACTATGGGTATTTTTCGTGAATTTTATACTTTCCCCGGCTATGAAAATAATTTTAAATGGTATTTAATAATTAATCATACATTCAACTTCAATTCCTGATCATTTACTTACCTCTCAACGCTAACAAATGGCTGTCTGTGGTCACGGACGTCCAAATGGAACTCTTTTAAAAAATTACAAAACTATATACAGAACTGTGTCGGACCGTTAAAAGATAAAGTATCAAATATAAGATTTAAATAATTATTATAAGATACCATTCTAAATGCCAGAGAAAGCTTAACCTTCACGAAATAAATACCTAAAGTAGCGACAAAAAATCGTCGGCGTAAATCGAAGGTTTTTACAAGGCTTGGGTCTGTAGCTCTCTGGTTTTAGAATCAGAATCAGAAAATTTTATTTCGAGTCGGAATTTACAACATGAACATAAGCTCTGTAGAGCTTTTGACCGAATAATCTGTCCGATTTTTTTCAAGCAGAGAGCTACAGTTCTGCAGCTATATAAACCCAAGAACCAGTTACACTAAGATATTTGAAAAAAGCTGCGAGCTTCATGAAATCTTGCAAATAAATTATACCTATATTAAATGTAGCTGACCAGCAAAATATTCAACCTACCGTCGAGCAAATGTAATTTTAGCAATTAAATAATGAAATCTATATAGGTTCGCAGCACTTTTCGCGTGTTTAAAAGAGATACAAATTAAAGGAAGGTTTTCAACTTCGTTATGCCATTGCAATATTGGAATTTATAGATGACCTCAAAACTTCAAGTATATTTTATTTAAATCTTGTGACTCCGACATCACGTGACAAGTCTAAATAACAAAAATCTAAATGTCCTCAACATGTAAATTTGAACTACAATACATTTTTCCGATTCAGTAAGATCCTAAAAAGAATCGCCCATCCTAATAAAATATGTACAATGTATTTTTTATCTAAAAAAAATCGGCGATATTTATGCGCCCGGATCGATAGATCCGAGGCGTATATTGTTTTTGTCCTGTCTGTTTGTCTGTCTGTCTGTTGTCAACTTTAACCTTCGCCATAATTTCTGAACCATGAAAGATAGAGACTTCATATTTGGTATGCATACTCCACCAATGAAGTTCTTTCGAATGACACCAAGGTCAATGACCTTGTGACCTTGACTGTGTCCTATATGCTAAAAATAGATTTTACAAAATTTTCGCCATAACTTTTGAACCATGAGAGATAGAGACTTCATATTTGGTGTGCATACTCCACTAATGAAGTTCTTCAAAAGACACCAAGGTCAATGTAATTGTGACCTTGACTTTCACTTATCTGCTGAAAAGTTTTTTTTAAACTTTGTTGCCGCCGGGCGCATAGTGTTTCACAAACACATCTTGTTTTATTTGTGACCGAAACTGGACTGCGGAGGAATCTTTTTCGTGCCAGTTCCTACTGCGAAACGGGACCTCGGTTTATACGGTCTCATCCAAAGGACCAGTTTCCAAGTGCTAACAGCACTTTAAAATAAATTATCATGATAAAAAAACAAATGTACTTTTTCTCACCATGCACCCCCTTTCATTTCAATACAGAAATATATTAGTTCGCCAAATACACCAATTCCTCGTACATAGGAATATATTATCTATTTTATTATTAGATCAACCTAGACTGTTTTTCTGTACTTTTGCAAGTTTGTACTTTTTGTACATCCAACAAGCCCGTTTTGGACATTATGAAGACTTACTACGCAGCAATAATGAAACGTTTTCATACGATACATTTGTATCTTCTTGACATTGATGCACTACTTGATTAAAATCCACGGGTATAATTTACCAAAATTAAGAAATTACACTGCACTGATTTTCTTTTCTGAATCTCTCAACATGTCTTTTTAATGGTAAAATAAATTGACCGAAACAATATAGCAGGTACTTTAATAACTTATCATCAAATTTTCATCGCACCGGCTTATGGGTTTACACGTTAAAATAAAGTGATATAAAGCATTACAGATCACCAATTATTCCCCTGCATATATATAAGTCAATGACTAGCACATTACCAACGCCGTGGAACAAAAGATATCCAGACTTTCCTCTACTTGGGTTTTTAAAAGGTATGATTTATTTCAGAATGTTCAGATATAGAATTTTTAATTGTATAAATATATTTGCTAGTCAAACTGTTCTTAAAAACGTATTTTGAAATTTAGCCCCATATGTACATGTATCTCACTATGAAACTCTCAACCTTTCTTTTATTTCTGTTATTATAAACTTGACATTTTCAATATACAGTCAAAGTTTATCATTGAGGGAGTTATCCAGATTCAAAGTCCCAAAGAGCAAGTCTGTTTCAGAGGCACAGCCGAGGGAAATGGGTTTGCTCGAGGGGAATTGGAATCTGGTTAACTCCTTCAATGATATACTGTTATTGTTTTATTTAATTATACCGATAGCAAAACTAGAGGTACTGTTAGCAATGAGCTCACCAAATGATACCCCCGCCTCCCATATGAGTATCGATACTTCTTTTTTGAAAACCAAAAATATGTGTCAGATCAAACAGTAAAACAGAAGGTGCACAATGGAAACATGTAATATTCTGTGAGAGTTTCATCAAATTTCATTCAGTGTATGAGAGGATTTGCGGATAAGAGATGGGTACCCCAAAGCGTAACAAACGGATGTTCGGACGGACATGTATCTGAATGATTGTTTTCCTTAACCACGAACGCCGTAACAAAGTTGTATACGTGATCTGTCTCATTGAACTTACGTTTAACATGAGCTGCATTTTGAATATTAATATATATTTAGAGATGTTCATTATCTATTTCTGCTTAGTGAAATACTAGAAACATATAACTACCGCATCCTCTTTGCAATCAGCTATTGCCAAGGTGTTTTTTCTGGTGAATAAATACGAGTGCAATGCTGAAAAGGGGTTGAAATCACTGAAATCTTTTTCCTTCGTTAAATTTCAAATTGATGATATTAAGGAATCAAACAGCAAGAAATATATATATTTAGAAGAAATATATAAAATGCTCTCCCGACAGTTTGATTTCTTTGGCAATATTTAATAAAAAGAAAGGGGCTTCGATTTCAAGCAATGGAATTTTTCATGGTGGCTTTGTTCAAAATCATCCATTTGTTTTTGTTCTTCCTTAACTAAGCCTTCCTTTAAAATAAAATAATATTTGTTTGCACTCTCCCGACCCAAGGTAGATACAGGGTAACAAAAACTTGTGTCCGCAGGTTGATAGATTTGTCCTTAGTTTATAACATACATATTAGTAGGAGGATTGAGTAAAGGGATTTTTAAAAATTTTATTTCCTGAAGGCTAAAAAAATTCGAGACGGGCCATGATAGGCGGTTGGTCGGGCGAGGGCAAATTCATTTTTTTATTCCATATTATTTTTGTCCTGTCTGATTATATTGTCTCTGTCTGTTGTCAACTTTAAGTGTTGAGTGGGTGGTGCTATACCTTTCTTATTTTATAGATGTATTCCTTGTGACAAGACCTTTGGGTACCACTAAATTTGACCTGTTGACCTTTATCTTGGAGTTTGACCTTTTTTGTTTTTTTTTTTACAAAAATTACAACATTACAATCTCGGTCGTAACTTTTGTACAGTTGGAGCAAGGGTTTTCATACTTCACATGTATAATAATTGTTACAAGACCTTTCAGCGTTGTTTGAAATCTTCACCTAGGAGTTTGACCAACTTTTTAAAACTTTTAACCTTGGTCATAACTTTTGAACAGGGCTTTCATATTTCAAAGGTGTATTCCTTGTAACAAGACCTTCCTTTGTGTACCAACAGTTTTGACTCTGACCTTTGGAGTTTGACATGCATTTGTGAAAATTGAACACTCGCCATAAGCTGTCATGCAGGGGAACAAGTGTTTCATAAACACATCTTATTGGTCCCATATTATAAACTATGGTGAAATATTCTATTACGTTTTCTTTCTACAGGCGAAAGGTGGAGATGGACAAAATTTCATCCATTGCATTTCTGATATGTTTGAGCTTTTTCAACATTTTCCCGAAAGGTTTGCAATTAAAAAATTTAAATCAATTTTATTATCCCATGTCAACTCCTTTACATTATTATATTAACTAACAATGTACTCTTTTTAAATAAGGATGTGCTGCCGACACTTGTTCTTTTTCCCATCTGCGAAGCTGTGAGTTGACTTATACTGGGTCTCTGACGGCCAGACGGGGCACAGTGGCAGTAGCGACAGCTGTACGTTGCAGGTTAGTACTCTTTTTAAGCACCTGGATATCGATAGATCGAGGCGTATATTGTTTTTGTTCTGTTGCTTGTCTGTTTTCAACTAAAACCTTCTCCATAACTTCTATTTCGTGAAAAATAGAAACCTCATATTTGTTATTAATTTTCAAACAATTAAATTATTTTTGTTTAAATCCTCAGGTTCTTAAACTTTATTTTCTGTTTCACAGTGCAGCAAATATCTTCATCAGATGTGCAGAAAGAGTACTTTCAGATTGCCAAGCCAAGCCTTACGTCACGGGTGTTGACCAGATAATCAGCAAAGCGAAACTGGGCATCGACAGCACGAGACGGGTCCTCTCTGGGCTTACATGTGGTAAGACTATTAGAATGATTTGTTAAAGGTCCCTGCGAGACCCAACTCCACTCAAACCGAAAGATCGCCAAATCAGTTTTTGTTAAAGAATTCAATCTTTTCTCGAAATTTTTGCAGAAAAGGAAACGTTAATATTGGTTTCACTTCCAGTCTTCTATTGACTTATTTTTGGTATAATCAATCATTAAACTTTTTTAATAGGAAATGGTGCTGGGATCAAAGTCACAAGTTTGATTACAATGGCGACGGGATTTGCGATTTTTGTTCCTTTTTATTAAGTCTCGCATTGAAAAATTAAAAGAACCATTAAGAAAAATGCTTGTTTGTGTGATTTGAATATTTTAGTTGCCTTAAATTTTATTCCTTTAAGTACTTTTGGTCAAATACTACATATTAATACACGTACATGTATCAACATTGAGAAAGTTTTGCTTTGTGTAAGGGGTCATCCTTTCATATACCGTGCAGGTTAAAATCGTGGTCGGAAAAAATCGCGATTTGTTTTATTTGTAGCAAATCGCGGTTGATTGAATTGACGGAAAAGTAAGTTATAATCACTATTTCCAGCACCCATCTTGTTCCCACAACTCTTTCATGATCTCGCTCATTTCTTCGGTAAGATTTCTGATTGACCTAAGCGAATCCGTTATTTCCCCGTGGCTAGCTTGAAGACTAGGGAGCTACTGCACAGTACTGGCCAACTCAGGTGTGAATGGGTTACCTGTGATACTTGGTACAGAGAACGTATGTTCTACGAGTGATTTCTGCTCAGTGCGTCTCCTGGTTTGTACGAATATCTAAATATCAAAGTTTGCAAATTACAACCTTCGAAAATCAGAATTCAACAATCTTCACTACTCACTCCATCAAATACACACTTTGCATACACATTGAATATATGTTTTTCGGTCCAAAGCGGGAGCACAGAAAACAATGACCGGCCTTAGCTCTGTCACGTGACTCCGCTAAAAGACCTTTCTTTTCGTTATATGTCGATACTGAATCCGATCAAATAAAACGCCATAACAGACCGACCCCGATTTGAAGTCAATACGTACAATTAAGGAGTCTCGTTGGATTATGATCAAAACACACAATTTCTGAAAAATTCTGTATGGCGAATAGTAAGTTCATAAGTAAATTCTGTGCATAAAAAGAAAAAAATATTGCCCGACTTGTTTGTGAAGTAACAGCCTTCAAAATATGGATATATATTTTGCTACTACCTGTCATTTAACATAGGATTATAAAGGGAGAACAGTTTTTTTTCAAGATTTATTACGTAAAATGTTTATCTAATCTTCATACATTTTTAAATTGAGTGTTATGTTTTTTGTGGGCGTGAATGTTTTCATTACAGTAAATAAAATGATTAATATCAATGTGTATTTGGGGGATACATCTGTGTTATTTTTACGGATTGTGCTATGCTTTGAAAACAAAGGAGTGGGACGTTACTAGACCTATTATGTAACAGAGGAGCGGGTGATAAAAGGTTTAACCTGTGAAGAATATAATCCATCCATTTGATCTAAAACAAAATGAATTATAAGAAGACGGAAGTTGAAAATTCCTAATTCCACTATCAACCATGACAAAAGTAAAAATTTCTTACCTAAAATTATTATGATTTCTAACTCATGTTTCTAGTTTCATGAGTTTAAAAAGTCTTTAATTTTCCTATTTCACACTTGACCTACATATGTCATATAAGATAAAATTATTTATGATAAGTCAAAAAATAAATCAAATAAATGAGCGTCAAATAATACAACAATATTTTAGAAAAATGTATTTTTAATGAAAGTATATGGTGGAAAAATAAAATTATGTCTAAATAATGGCCAGATACTGTTCAAGAAAAAAAACCGTTGTGTGATCAAGTCACAATTCACCTCTACACAAATTTTCTTCGCTATGCTTCAAATGTCAACACCCCTTCATCCTTAATTTCAATATACATGTATTGGAATCAAGTAACAGCTTTAGCTCAGTAGCTTAATCTTTTTCAACTTCATAATTTCAATTTTGCTTCCAATGTTGTGGTATGATGGTTTTTTTTTGACATTTCGAACCCGATGGTAATTAGGTCTTTCCACCTTTCTGTGGAAAGACCTCTTGAAATGCTTCTGTTTACTATTAGGTCTTTCCACCTTTCCGTGGAAAGACCTATTGGTATTCTTCTGTTTCTTATTATTCTTCTTATTTTTCCGCCGTGTGATTTTGAGTTTCAAGATATATCAAAGAGATTTATAGTCCATAAGAATGTACTCCGTAAAAGATTATTGCAGTTGACCCTGCATAAATGAACCTTGACCGCTTTCGAAGTTATTGCCCCTTTCACAAGAAATGCTTGTTATCGCTACTTCTCCGAAACCATAAGCTGTAGAGATATGAAACATTCACTAAAGTCTTTGACTAATTGAGAGGACTTTTCATCTATTCATTGCGAAAGTATTTGGTGACCCGTTCAATGAGTTATTGCCCCTTAATCTTTTTGAATTTTACAAATAATTAAAAATTTTTAAAACGACAAGTCGTAGAGACATGGGACAAACTGCATAAGATTCATTGACCTTTGACCTTAAAATTTATGTAAAGGTCAAAGGCCAAGGTCATTCCAAAAATGAGGAATTTAGCTCTTTTTATATCTCTTTTGTCTTTCAACATATGCATAATGTCTATGCATCATTTTTATATACTCTTAAAACTGTTTCAAAGATTTCATTCTTGTCCCCTAACATTATCCCCTTTAAAAGTTATTGCCCCTTGTGCTAAAAACCTTGTTATCGCTACTCCTCCGAAACCATAGACCGTAGAGACACCAAACCTTCACTAATGTCTTAAGGGTCTTTAGGCCTAACTACACTGTTTAAGTGCAAAAGGATCTGATGACCCCTTATATGAGTTATTGACCTTTAAGTTCATTGTACTTACTATTAAACCTTATAACTTGAAAACCATAAGTCGTAGAATCATGCGGTCAATTGCATTGTGACACTTGACCTTTGACCTTGAATATTTTTTCAAGGTCAAAAGTCAAGGTCATTTCATTTTTTTCATTTTTAATTTTTGCTATTCTTTAAGACAATTTTGATTTCTTATTCATAGAATCAAGTTATAAAACAAATTTGAAATTCAAAGAAGGTGGAAAGACCTCTTATTGTTCTGTGAACAATAAGTCTCCTAGTTATTATTATTATTATTTTTCCGCTATGGACTTTTGATCCAAAAGACTTATCGAAAAACCTTTTAGTTCATGATACTTGACATCAAAAGTTATTTCGAAAAACAACCCAACGTATATGAGCTATGACCTCTTTCGGAGTTCTCTCCCTTTGTGCGAAAAACCATTGTTATCGCTACTCCTCCGAAACCGTTAACCGTAGAGATACAAAACCTTCAACAATGTCTACGACTAATTTAGTAGACTCTTGAATCTATTCATTGCGAAAGGATTCCTCAACTCCTACAATGAATTATTGCCCCTGAATGTTTGCGATGTTAACGATTATCAAGATCTTTTCTTAAACGACAAGTCGTAGAGACATGGGACCAACTGCAAAAGATTTATTGACCTTTGACCTTAAAATTTAGGTCAAGGTCAAAGGTCAAGGTCATTCAAAATATGTAAAATTAAGCATATTTTATAGCTCTTTTGTTCTTCATCAAATTCTAAATATCTTTGCATTTTCAATATGTACTCTTAAAACCATTTCAGAGATTTCATTCTTGTCCCCTAAGATTGACCCCTCTAAAAGTTAGTGCCCCTTTCAGTGTAAACCCTTGTTATCGCTACTCCTCCGAAACTGTAAACTGTAGAGATACAAAACCTTCAACAATGTCTATGACTCATTTAGTAGACTCTTGAATCTATTCATTGCGAAAGGATTCGTCAACCATTTTAAGTAGTTATTGCCCCTTACAGGTTCTGATGTTTACAAAGAAATAAAATCTTTTTAACGACAAGTCGTAAAGTCATGGGGACCATGCATGAGATCTTTCGACCTCTGACCTTGAAGATAAGGTCAAGGTCAAAGGTCAAGGTCATTTAGAAAGTATCAAAATTGCTTACATATGTTTTTGGTTAAAATGACCTTGACCTTTGATCTTCATATTTCACCTTCACCTTTGACCTTGACCCTGATTCAGAAGTAATAAAGAAATATCCATTACTTTTACCTAGATTCAGCTTCAAGTGTTAATCTCAAGTTTACCTCTCTCTTTTTTTTTTTTTTTTTTGGATGACCTTGACCTTTGACCTTGATAAATGACCTTGACCTTTGACCCCATTGACCCAAAGGTCACAATCAAGCTAAAGGTCGTGGAGGTATTTACAACCATCACTCTAACAAATGCTTTTAAAATACCCTATAAAAAAAAAATCAACACCAACTTAGAGAAAATGTCTACAAGTCAAACGAAACGAAATATCGGCATAAGATTCGTAATAAAAGGAAGAAGAGACCTGAAAGAAAGTGTCCTGAGAGTTTTAAGGTGAGTCTCTAAAGTATTTTGAAATTCTAGTGATTATCGGCAAAATCTGCATTTTTTTTATGTCTGAAATTTAGTTATTGCTGAGCATAAAAATTAATTAAAACTCGTATTGGCTATTTCTGCAATTATTGTTAATATCATTCGATTCTCCTGCTCTATTACGACATTTTAATACCAAGTATTCTTGCTTTCTTAGGTGTATGGAATTTATTTTAATTTTATTTAGATTTAAATATGAATCCACTGAATTTCGGAAATAGCGATTTTTCATATCAAATAAATTTCCACGCAATTTAGATAGGTTAAATCAATTGTAGATACCCCGCTTTATACAGTATAGTGTAGAAAAAATGCCCATGACTTACTCACTGTTTTTCCGGGATTTTGAATTTCCTCTGCAACTGACCACGTGTATTAGTTTCGCTTTTACGACTCTGTATATGCTAAGTATCATTTCTTCACTGCAAATGTGTCCCATAATTATTCTAATCATTTTTCTACATACAATATCACATCAAACCGGCAAGATCTAAGTTTTTTAAGAAATTTGACCGGTACTTTCCTACGAAACTAACGAAACTATTCCCTTCAACCTTGAACTAATCAGTTTACAAAATACGTGGACTTGTGTAGAACTCGATGGCTTAGTGGTTAGCGTGTCCGACTTCTAAACTAAAGGTCATAGGTTCGAGCCCAGGTAGAGGAACTTTTTTTTTTTTTTTTTTTTTTTTTTTTTTTTTTTTTTTTTTCAACCCAAATGACATGGATAGACTTAAAAAGGTGGAAAGACGTCTTAT